ACAAAACAGACACTGATTCTCAACATACCCTATGATCAGAGTAAATACAGTGTTCTCCTGAGTTCTCATCCAGTCTTGGTGAATAGGAAGAGACTTCATGGAAGAAGTGACTTCTGGGCTGAAGCCAGCCGGCTAGGTGGAGCTGGGGCAGGGTGTTGTAGAGATAGGGGGCTTGTGTACAGGCCTGGGGTGAAAGAACATCTGGGCCATTTGAGCGGAGACCGTAAGGAGCAGAAGCAAACTTTGAGAGGGGCAACTGCCTAGCAGTGAGGCTTAAGCGTTAAAAAGTTTGGAAGTGCAGAGCAGGAGGGAGATAGAGCAGTAGTCTGAAGAGAGTTAGGGATGAAGTGAGGTTCTTCATAGTACCTCAGAGAAAAATATGTAAACTCACTGGTAAGGCAGTGTTCCCTACAATTCAATATTCCCAATGATTAGATAGACAATAAAATACATTTGCTTCTCTCTTGTCCTTTAATAATGGTTTGACTAAACTACTTCTCACAAGACACAGAAAGGACAGAAAATACAAGAGCAAAAGATGGATAAAGCTGTATACCCGACATGTTTGTCTTCTCTAAGGTTTCTATGATAAATGGTCTACTTAGGACTAAAACCACATCCAGATCCCAAATGAAATGAAACTTTTCCCCTTAAGACACCCTCCAAAGGGCTGAGGGGCTGATTTTAAGATACCCAAATTTCTAAGGCAATTCTGAAGACAAAGGATTTCCCCAGTTCCTCCTGCAGCTCAGTTTAGCTAATGAAACAGAGAAAACAGTCTGGGGTTACCTGATTTTGCCTGTTTCAAAACATGACCACAGCAGAGAGCAAGCTGCCTCCAGTTCCTGCCGCTGAGGTCCTTGGAGCCATTTCAGATGACCTCATCTCAGGAACCAACAGCAGCAGCTTTCAGGCAAAGTGAATGGTGCCGCCTGGGGACGTATCTTTGGTAAGCAAGATTGCAACAGAGCAGGCAGTTTACCCAGGGCAGTGCTGACTCATGCGAGGCAAAACTCCTATTTCCCAAACAACCCAGCCGGAGCCAACCACAATGAACTGTGACTCAGAAAAGAGGCGCCCCACTGATTTTTTTAAATCCAGTGCTGATTACTGGGGGCAGGTCCCTCATTGCCCTCCTGCTGGTGGCTCGGCTGCCCCTGGAGCCCTTACCTGGAAGGCTCCAGTGGTCACTTTCTGAAATTTCATTTGAGAACAGCCCGGGGCTCAGGACAGCAAGATTACTGAAGGTAGCAGGTTCACAGCCCTGAAGATTTCCCCCGAGAGGCTGATAAAGAAGTCACTTTGCATTTACAAATTAGAACCTCTGGGTCAGAGGAAATGGGGAACTTGCCCCGTCATCGCTAGGCTGGTCAAATCATCAGAGTGAATTTTTGTCAGCTTTAACCAGGCTCCCGGTTCTTTTTCCCCCCACTAGGCCATCCCTGACCTATTTCCTTAGACAATGCAGAATCTCTAATTAACACAGAAGTAACTGAAGGCTTTAATCAGCTGCCACACACAGCTAAAGCCCCATTATCCACCATCACACCTACCGGATGCTTAAGGAATCCAGGAGTCTGTGAAAACTGTATTAACACTTGCTTTTAAAAGAAAAATCCCTAAATCTGTGTCGATTCTCATTTATTGGCCAGCTTATTAAAAAATCAATTCTAGAATGACTGGCTCATCAACAACTATTAATTATTATTGAATTTGCACTGACCAGCTAGAATGGGCTTTGGTGCTACGTAAAGAAAACAAAAGATTAAGCCCTTGCTTTCTGTGTTTTTTTTTTCATTTGACAAGAAAGAGACATTAAAGTTCATATCAGATCCTTCCATTAAAGTTCATATCAGATCCTTCTGTTCCCTGCTCAAAACTTCCCAAGGCCATCAGCTCTTCCTCAGCATGGGCATTCAAGGCCACCACACCTAGCCTTGTCCATCCTTCAAGGTAGGTCCCACGTGGCGTGAACTCCAGATGTAGCTGCCAGCCCAGCTTGTCACTCAATAAATGTTATTAGGTTAATAAGAATGTATGTGCAGACTGTCAGAATTTGGGTTTAAAAACTATGCTACTTAATTCTATTCCTTTTCAAGGGGCTAGTTTAAAAAAAAAGTTATTTATCCAATTGGCTTAATTCCCCTTAATTACACTATTCCAGTAGGATAGCCACACTGAGCTTTTATAAGGTTTTATAAAATGTTCCCTCTTTTATTCCTCCCTTTCAGTGTTTTCTTTTTCAGAAAATGGCTGTGTTTAAAGTTTTCCTACAGTATGTGTTAATTAGTTCTTTTCAAATGATAAAAGCGTCTTTACAGCAGTTGGCAACCATTATCTCATGGACCACACTTTAAAAAATATTTCTGTAGTTGATGATAAGTCACAAACATTCTAATATGGAGCAACCCTCAAGACACGTACAAAATGGACAAACAGGAAACCTCTTTTGAAAAAAACACATTACTGTTAGAAGCTTCTGGCGCGTTCTATATATTAGTGAACTTTAAATAAGGATGAGAAAATTCAGACAGTACTGTTCCCAGGAAGTAAATGTGAATTATATAAAGAGCAATATGGCAGCCAGAAGCATCAGAATTTCCTAATTCCGCTAAAATAAACACTGTTTGCAGGTGAGGAGAACCATCGCAGATTATCATTTCCCTGTTTGAATCTTTTTGGTTTTGCAAGAAACACATATTCAAATATCACTTGGTAATCAAATTGGGTTAACTTTAAGTTTTTTACCGTTTTATGAACTAATCTTTTCCCTTTCTCTCCCTTTTCTCTTAACATCTCCCTTTTACCTACTTTCCCCTCCCTAACATCCTAAATGATACTGCACATTTATTCTGTTCAACAAATTAATCCTATTTATGTCTATCTCCTTTTTCTTATTGAGAAGGGGTTGAACTGATAAATCCAAGTTTCCAGGAACCAGTGGCTGGCTGTCTCACCTTGTTGAGAATTAGGGACATTGCCAAATTCTAACCTTTGGAGTTCTAGGATCTTATAACGTTTAAAAAAAAAAAAACAAACTAAAGTACCTCCTCTTCAAAAAAGACAAATGAGCATCAACCAAACATCTATCATCTAATAAATCACAGAAATTAAACATGAGAAATGAAGTAAATTTTAGGATACTCGAGAATCCACTCTAGGGGTACTTAATCAACAGGGGTACTTATTAAAAATGGTTATTTCCCATCCCAGTCCCTCAGACATTCTGGATTAGCACAAACGGAGAGGCCCCAGAATCAGAATTTTCAATAAGGAACTCCCTCTCCCACGTGATTCTGATGCAGGTGGGCCTTGGATGTTTTGAGAGATGGGTCATACAGCTATGTTCCCTGAGCACTGACTGTTCACAGAATGAAAAGTTTTATTTCAAAGACCACCAAAATGAACAGTAGTCTCACTGAGTAGGTCTTAGACATTAGTCCCCTTACCCACCAGAACCGCCAAGAACATAACAATTGAACTGTATTTATTTTGTCAATTGGACCATTATTTTCTTCAAGACTCCAGAGACAATTATCCTAACTACTCTTTGTCACCCACAGTCATTATACGGAGACATTTTCACACCTGGGATGCAGTACAAGGGGCTTAATGGAATTTTTATGGCTGTGAAAATTAAAGTCCACTTGACTCAACAGAATAGTCAAATAAAACAAAGGATAAAACCTCCCCAAAGGCGCGGATTGAAAGTAGAGGCTTTTGACTTCCTGATGAGGCAGTTTTGCCCAGAAATTCAAACCATGGGATGCTATGTAGCTCATATGTCTTCAAAGTACCCAAATGCCAACTTATCACCACGGCATCAGCCGAAGCAGGCTCACTGTAACATTTGGAAGCACAAACCTCCTGTATAAAATGGCCTCTCCTGGGAGACAAACGCTGTCGCCATGGCAGGGATCATTCCATCTTGGGGCCAGAAGGACCAGGCAGTCCCTTTAATCTTTAACGAGCCACTTTCATGTTCAGATGTAGGAACTGGCACTGTGTGAGGCCCAACCTGCCTCACAGCACTTTGCTGCACAACCTCCCCTCCCCCCGCCGCCCCGGAGCTGTGTGAGGGCACGCGAAGTGAGTCTGTCCCTGCTGGTACAGTTACCAGAATCTGTCCTATAACGTAATTGTGGGCACTTGACTATCCACTGTGGTGTAATAGTTCAGAAAGGTATCCAATATCAAGGGTACAGCAACTGCCTCCCTCAAGCACACTGAAATACTAGATCCCTAAATGTCAGGGAATTGAAAAAGTAGCGAGCCTGCAGGAAGAGGAAGATCCAAAGCTGACGGGACACAGGCTGAGGCCCTAATAACAAGATGGGGGGGCAGGGGGAGGAAGTCAGCAAATCGGCCAAACTGCCATCCTGGGCAGCTCACTTTAGAAACCTGGCAACAGGGGCACCTGGGTGGCTCAGTCGGTTAAGTGTCTGCCTTCAGCTTTCAGGTCATGATCCCAGGGCCCTGCTCAGTGGGGAGCCTGCTTCTCCCTCTCCCTCTGCCACTACCCTCTGCTTGTGCTCTCTCCTTCTGTCAAATAAATAAATAAAATCTTAAAAAAAAAAATAGAAACCTGGCAAATCTTGGAACCGCTTGACAGTGTAACTTCCTATACAAAGCTATTTCTTCATTTTTTCCCCAGCTGCTAATACAGAAGGGCAGGGAAAGGCCCTTGTCATCCAACTCCCATCACCAAAACAACTCCCATAGCTTTATAATGGAGTGATTAGTAAGCTCAGGCCCTATTCCCCAGTAACCAACCACGCTCTCAGAACAAAGATTCTGTCATTCAACTCGAAAGATTTCCCAAATTCACAATTCTTCTTTACTGCATACCTCTGGATTCTTCTCCTCAAATACATCCACGCACACTCTCTTCTTTCTTTCTGCTCCCTGCCACCCCCTATAGTCACGCCCCACCTCCAGTAAGTCAAACTTACCAACTTTTCACGTTGGTTTCCATTAAAAATGCCACAAGGTTAAGTTACCTTCTCGCAGGTTCCCAAGCCTAGGGGGCCTTTGTTGACATGTGTTTCATGTGGACGGGTGACTTCTAGCCAAGTAGCTAAGGTTACCTGTTCACCTACAGTTAATCTTCAAACTAGCTTATGTAGGCTATGGAAATAAAAGGATAAGACTGCACAGCTTGAATATCCCATCAAGGTAATCAAAATAATGGAAGAGACAGAGAAGACAGGAGAGATTTCAAAATAAAGACTGAACTGTGCATTTCAGTAGCACTTAAGAAAACACTCCAACTGACTAAGCACTTGATGAGTAGACTAATACCCAAAGGACTGTACATTCTCCAAAGATTACTGTGCTCACAGTTCTTGCTTTCTTCAAGGTTCATAAAATCAGACCTGCATTATTTATAATAAAGCAGATAGGTAGATCCTAACATCCAGAATTTCACTGATTTCCTTGCAAATAAAAGCTACCACCTTATTTCAACCCAAACCCATGTAACAAGGAATAAAATATATTTTGTTTAGGTCTTTCAAAGGTATCTCTCAACGCTTTTCTTTTTTTTTAAAGATTTTATTTACTTATTTGACGGAGAGAGACAGAGCAAGTACAAGCAGGGGGAGCAGGAGAGGGAGAAGCAGGCTCCCCGCCGAGCAGGGAGCCCGATGTGGGGCTCTATTCCAGGACCCTGGGACCATGACCTGAGCCCAAGGCAGAGGCCTAACCAACTGAGCCACCCAGGCGCCCCTCAACCCTTTTATAAGAAAACAAAAAAAGGGTTAGAGAAAGGAATGCAGCATGGTCCCAGGCTGAAGCACTTACAAAAAAAAAAAAAAAATCACAGGGAAAATGCCCATAATCCATTATCCATTGAAAACAAAAAAAGCATTAACAGAACAGCAGTTGGGGACTACACAAACACACACAAGATATGTACATAGAGTGAAAAAAAAGATAACAAAACATACAGCTTAAAAGTCTAGAACTACTGAGGCGCCTCGGTGGCTCAGTCGGTTAAGCCTCCCACTCTTGGTTTCAGCTCTAGTCATGATCTCAGGGTTGTGAGATCAAGCCCCACATCGGGCTCTGTGCTCAGTGTGGAGTGTGCTTGAGGATTCTTTCTCTATGCCCCCCCCCCACTTGTGCGTGCACAAGCTTGCTCTCTCTCTCTCAAATAAATAAAGTCTTAAAAAAGAGTCTAGAACCATTTAATAGTAGTTACTTCTGGTAAGGGTGATGTTTACCTTCTGCTTTATATGTACACTTCTGTGCTATTTTAGTATTTTTAAATGAGCTGTATAAGCTAATTAATATTACCAGAAATAGGATCACTCGACAAAATGAAACAATTTGAACAAGTTGGTAGGGCCATTCTAAGCCAAATTTTCAGTGTATTTAAAGCTATATTTATTGAGGCACATTTCTAAAGAATTTACCAGAAATTCATAATTCGAGGATAGCACTGTTTGTTCACTTTCACTGGCAGCCCTGTGCTAGGTACTACCGGGTAAAGGGCGAGAGTCTCGTGCTCACCGTTCTTGCTTGCCCCACAGTGAGTTTTGGTTGGTCTTCCCTCTCTCAAGGAAACCACAGCCAGGGGATAAAAGAGCAACTCAACAGCCCACTGAATGCTGTAGAGGCAGAACCACGAAGCATGCTAACAACACACGACTCAAAAATCTTTGCTCTTCATTAGTCAGGTCAGTTTTACCAAGTTATCTGATGAACTTACAAACCAGATTTGCTACCTAGTAGAAAAGCTAAAATAAAAAATGGTGACAATTCCAAATGCTGGCAAGGATGTGGAGAAACTGAATCTTCTACATTGCTGGTGGGACTGTAAGATGGTACAGCCACTCTGGAAAACTGTGTGGCAGTTTCTTTAAAAAACTAAACATATACTCTCCATCAGACTCAGCAATTGCATTCCTGGGCACTTAATCCAGAGAAATTAAAACCTGTGTCCACAAAACACCTGTACACAAATGATGTCACGATGGCTTTATTTATACTGCCAAAAACTGGAAACCACCAAAATGCCCTTCAACAGGTGAATGGTTGAAGAAACTGCGGCCCATTCACACCACGGAATACCACTTAGCAATAAAAAGGCATGAACTATTGCTACACACAACTTGGCTGGAGGGCATCGCACTGAATGAAAAATGCCGATCTCAGAAGGTCACATATTGTGATGATCCATTTCCATAACATTTCAGAAATGACAAAATTAGAGAGAGAGAGAAGAGATCGCTGGTTGCCAAGGATTAGGGATGATGTGGCTCTCATACTGCAATTACTCATTCCACTGTTCAATCACTATGGGGAACCCAGAAAGGCGAAAAGTTTGTAAAACAAAGCACATTTCATATTATTTTGCAGTCCCTACTATGTTGGGGGGTGAGGGGGAAGATTCTTTAAGCATGGATCAGTTGCTCGCCCAACCACCTGACATACATTTCAGGCATTACCCGCGCCCGATCCCTCCCTGCATTTGCATCTGAGCCTTCAGTAATGAGCCAAAAGGCAGAAGTAACCCCGCACAGAGTGAAGCCTGCTGTAGTTCCAGCTCAGCATTCAGCTGAACTGTCCTGCTTGAAATCAAAAGCATCAGAACACTGCAGCAATTAGACAAGGAAATTGTGAAAGACGTGGTTACCAGGCAGGGCGGCTCACATCTGACAGGCTTCTGACCACAAGCTTTTCTTACAAAAGTCTTAGGAGCAGTCTCCAAAATTCGAGGGAGAGGTTAGCAGAAAAACTTTCAGGGACGCTTCCTCTGATTCTTCGGGCCAGTCCTCACAGGGCCTCAGAGTAGGGGAAGCAAGACACGGGTCTCAAGCCCGGATAGCAAAGTTTTACTTTCTCTACTGATCAGGGCTTCTTCCTGAAAGAGGTCTGTCATCGTTTATGCCACTACCACTTACAACATGAGGCCAGAACATCTATACATCTTATGTAGAAGGCACTTTACTGAGAAGGCCTATCGACAAACAGGAAGACACTCCCCCCACAAGAAAAAAAAAACTGAAAAATGAACCGCCACCAACAAATTCTCCTCTAAGCCAGGGCTCTAGCTGCTTAGCCAAATGTGCTTTTAAGGGTGACTGGCTTATACATCAAATATCATTATAATGTTAGAATTAGGAATAAACTCTAAAGCAATCTTTTAGTTCTAACAGAACTAAAACTAGAATACGTAACAAGTATTGTTAATATCATTTTTAAATCACATTCCACACAAGGAGGCCCATGTATAAAAAATTTCAAAGCCCACCACTATATGAAATGGAACCTACTTCTGAAGACCTGCTCTGAAAAGTTAATCATCATAGATGAGCCAGTGGGGTGAGGCCACTATAGCCTGGTGATTGAGAGCCTGGCCTTTACAGCCAGAAGGGTTCAAACACTGTGTGGCCTTTAGGCCTGTCACTTAACTTCTCTGTGCAGTGTTTTCACATCTCTGGAACACAGATACTAGTATCTACACCTCATAAAACTGTTGGGAGGATGAAATAAGTTCCTATAGTAAAGTCCCTGCACACAGCCAGTACACGACGACTGTTGGTAATTCTTCTACAGGTAAAATATGGCACAAAGACAAGTATCACACAGCAAAAGAAATGTCAGTCTTACACAAAGCTCTCTCCTACTTTTAAACACAAGTAAGCCTTCCCCTAACTCCCACCAAAGAATGCACAGAATCCCATTCAGAAAAATGTATCATTTTACGCAATGTAATGAGTAAAATACACCCTGCTGAGCATGCCTAATGCTTCCCAAGCTCTCGTGGGCAACATATGATTTCAATAGGAAAGGGGACTGTTTTGTAAAGACAGTTTTATAACATCCTTTACCAAATGAAATGTTCAAAGTGAAAATTCAAGGCTTCACACAGCAGGCACAGACTTTCAAAAACATCTGTACCCTCACTCATGTTCCCCATCCTTCTTTCTTAAGGTTATAACCAAAATCCTCTGAAGGCTGCCACACAGCCCGAGAGCATGCCATCCTCCTGAATGGTCACTGACGGGGGAAGGCAGTATTCTCTTCACAGCCCCAACCCCCACCCCGCCGCAGTCAGAAAGATGGGAGTTTGTTCTAGAGACACTTAAAAAAAGTTTGGACTTGAATCATCTAGACAAGATGCCACACCTTTCTCCACTTCTAGGAGTCCCAACTATTCAGGGGACAACCGCAGACATTTTGGAATCAGAAACATAAATTGTTTCCAAAATTGTTCAATAATGCTTGTCCAAAGGCCCCAGTAGAGCTGGTAGTTTAGACAGCTGTGCTAGGAGCGACAGAAGCAGCATTTTCTAACTAGTATTGCTTCAAAACAATCGAAACTTTCTCCAGCGCAAAGTCAAGACACAGGGAGCACTGTTCTTTGCGAACATCCACAACAGTTTCATTTTTGTTTAACCACCAAAATAACAGCTCCAATAATCTATCAAGTTTGACATTTTATCCAACTAAGCAATTAAACCAGGATGCAAAGCATGCAGAGATATTATCCCCCCTGCTCTGTATCAACATTCATTTTGACATTGCAACAACACAAATAATACTTCTTCCTAGACTACTTATAAAAGGCTTCTAAAAAGCAAACAAACTTTAGTGCCTCAAAAAAAACTGTGCGCCCCCAAATTTTGTCTTCTACCTTTAAGCAGCTTTATTAATGGTGAATAAAGGCCAAGAAGCTGAAAACTCTTTTTTAGTATTTAGTCAAAAGAGGTCAAGATCCCGCCTGATACAGACACCAAATGCAAGTTCTATTGACTTAATCTTAAGCATATTATATCACCTAATCTCCAAGTATAAAAATTATGGTTGTGGGCGCCTGGGTGGCTCGGTTGGTTAAGCGACTGCCTTCGGCTCAGGTCATGATCCTGGAGTCCCGGGATCGAGTCCCACGTCGGGCTCCCTGCTCGGCGGGGAGTCTGCTTCTCCCTCTGACCCTCTTCCCTCTCGTGTTCTCTATCTCTCATTCTCTCTCTCTCAAATAAATAAATAAAATCTTTAAAAAAATAAAATAAAAAATAAAAAAATAAAATAAAAATTATGGTTGTGATCTAGTAAATCACCAGGCGATAGAACTTCTTCCCCCAAGTAGGAATGGGAGTCCTCAGCTGGTTGCTTCATTTACAGGTAGCAGAAAGAAGAAAATGATCTCACTGTCCCCAGAACCACCTAGAACAATGTTGTTCAAAGCGCCTTAAATTCCTCTGTGCCTTAAATCCTTCCTCTG